ATGCAGTGTTTTATAATCTAGAGATTGTAAAAAGGATGTAGCACACGCATTGTCGAGTCAAGTGCCAGTGGATTAGAGACCTGCTCCCGCGAGACCCGATGCAACAGAGTGCGGCGCGGGAGAAGATGGGCGAGTGCGGGTGCGTGCGGGTAGACACTCGTGTGTGTGCGGGATGCGGGAGAATAAAATGATTCACGGGGCTCCCGCAAAATAGAAATATCTAAACATAAAATATCTAAAACAAATAAATTGTTATTCATCTATTGCACAAAAGCAACATGAACTAATATAAAATATAAACGATTAACAGGTGCAAGCATATGCAGAGTTTCTATTTAGGCTATAACGCGCGTTTGCAGCATTGATGCAGTGCTGAAATGTGCGTGCTCACAAATCCTCTCATTAACACACGAATTGTAGACATTATGCAAGATTCATTATGCATATATTTATTGTATTATAACAGAGATTTGTGAGATTGCAATGAACTGATAGAGATTATAGAGATTATAAATGCAGCGCTCTTTGCTGGCATTCTGCCATGCCAAACCATGCACGCAGCATTTAGTTAAATAAAAATAACAGTGTTCTGTGAATGTTGATGCTTTAATAACAAATATTTATCGGAATTGTGTATGGGATTTCATAAATTTCATGGAGAAAAAAGTAATGCAACTAGTAATGTAACTAATTACTAATTACTTTTGAAATAAAGTAATCAGAACAGTAACGTGATTACTTTTAAAAGGAATAATCAGTAATTTAATTACATTTTCAGAGTAACTTGCCCAAACACTGATTATTATACATTTAGTCATGCACACAAATCTATTTTTTTTTACTGAAACCAAAATGAATGTTTTCATTTAACCTCATTTTAAAAGTCTGAAACCAAACACCTTACAACCTTGCTGGCCATTTGACTTATAGCAGTGTCCAGTGTTTCCTATACATTGAGTTATTTGTGGCGGCTCGTCACAATATCAAAACTGACCGCCACAAACAGATTTTCCAAAAGGCTTATACTTCGTTGAATAAAATGAGCACTTCACGTTTCAAAATTAAAATGCAGTGTTTTTATATGAATGTATCTTTGAAAAGAACCGACTGTCTTCAGAAAAGCTTCGATGTCATTTTCATTTCGTCTTTCCTGTAATGCCTGATAAAGTAGCGTTTGTGAGCGGCACGCTGATTTGATTACAGCCGTTACCGGGGAAACCGGTATATCTCCAGCTCCCAAAGCGCCTCCTGCTGGCAGAGAATTAATTTGCAGTCTGTGGGAAACACTGGTGTCTGTCAGCAAACATAAACAAAAAGCATCCATCAGAACTGTTTTGAGAAGGTGCTTAAATTTTGAGTCATTGAGTATTATTACACTAAATTGGGCTACTACTACTATTACTATCTTGTACGCATCGGCCAGAGAAAAACCCATATCGGTCGACCTCTAGTGCATTATTGCAAACAATTTTCAAGGTTATCTGTGGTAATCAACAACATGCCACTGTAGCTTAAGTTGTATTTACCCTGAAACACTCCTCTTAAATGTATTAAAGAGTAAAGGAACAACATCGTATGATAGTGAAGGATATCTTACATTGGCCTGGACTATAATTAGATAGCGAGTTCTCTCCTCATAGTTCAGCCGTTCTGCCAAAACAATGTTACCAGACAGAGTCCCAGCAACACGCACAGTCCTGTTTGACATCTGAGACAGAGAAACAGAGAAAGATTGCACTGTTTTAAATAAAACATTGCAGTTTGCAAGTTCACCCATAAAGTCACTGCTTTAAATTAATCATTAATTACAATGAAGAACTTGAGTGTAACTGCAGAAGGTCTGTTTGATCGGATGAAGTACCGGGTCATTTGGGTTGTACTGAATGGCATATTCGATCTGTCCGTTTGGTCCGTCATCGATGTCCATGGCTCCATTGTTTCCTGAGAAGCCGGTGAAGATGGTGGTACCGACGGGAGAGAGCTGGAGAGATATCATTAAAAAAACACATGAAACAAACATCAGACACTGGCTATATGCTTGTGTAACAACACAGCAACTCTGACAAGCCTCAGATGTGACCCGTCTGACCCAGATAATGTTTATGTGTGAGTTTGTGTGTTCCTTCTGGAACCCCTTAGGAGACAGACTAGACAGGGACAGAAGAGGAAGAAAGAAAATGCAAAGAAAAAGACAAGGAGATCAAAACAAAGAGAAGACAACAAAACCTAAAATCAAAATGGAAGGAGAGAGAGAGAGCAAAACCTGCACATATGCCTGCACACAAATACACACGACTGATATTATAATAACAGGTTAGAGTCATTCTACAGCTGCGGTGGCATTTCCATCTGCTATCTTTTTCTGAAAAGCAAATTGATTAATAACATATTAAGCCTACTGTGCTATATTAATGCATTTCCCTTTCTTATTTCATAGAAGGTCTCATTAAACATTTGTAGGATATTATATTTTAGCCAATTCATTTTTGAATATTATCTTTTTATATTATTTCAATTTGTCAAATGTATTTTACAATAAATAGTTTGTATTGTTTGTAATTGTATTTTTTAGCTATTTCTAGCAATACAAATATATTTAATATTTTTAAAATATGAAATATATGAATTTTAAATATTAAAAATATATGTTATATATATATATATATATATATATATATAGGCCTATTTAAAAGTATACTATCATGCTCCTAGAGACTTTCAAAATTATAAGTGAAAATACTGATAAGATGTTTCATACTAAAACAGTTTTAAACCATAATTTGTTTTTCTATAAAGCCATACTCAGCCATTTGAAAGTCTTTCTGTTGTGACCACGATTGTACAATGTACCTTGCAATTTGCTCTCTGCTAGAGAACATCAAAAACACACTGAGGCTGAGCCAATGTTAAAGCATGGTACACTGAATCACTGAAGACACAGTTTCAGACTCTTTCCCACATTGGGCATGAAGCCAAAAGAATTTTTGGAAACCAACCTGACAATCTAACCTGATAACAGCATTTTTGACTTCAAGGAGAGGACAGAGATTGACAAGCATAAAGAAACCAAGCTTTTACACACCCAACACGTACACACTCTCGGAAGATATTCAAACGTACTCCAAATAAATGAAAGCAATTAAGTTTAAAAATAGTCCTCATACCTGAACTTGTGGAGAGAAGGGTCAAGGGTGTGTGTACCTGCATAATTTTAAGTATAATTTTGAGCCGATGCCAAAAGGGGATGGTTTTAGATCTGAATAACTGATGGAGCATGCCAACAGACTATACAACGATTTCATGTGACTACACAATGTGTCCGCTTCACTCTCTACTCTCTTTTCATTTGTGAGTGCAGTTTTCTTCCCCGTGTTGATGTATTTCTTGTTGAAACAGGAAGTTGAGTTGGGACATATCAAAGAGCTCAAGCCTTTTTTAATAACGAGTATTAATTAGTTTGTCACAGCAATGAGCCTTGATTTGCTACTTGATATTGCTTATCAGTGCTATGCAAATAAACCCTAAAAACCACAAAACTCACATTCTGATTTCATTTTAATATTTTACATATTGGAGTATGGTAAGATTTTTTTGTTTATTATTTTCAATGTTGAAAATAGTTGTGACACTTCCAGGATTCTTTGATGAGTAGAAAGTTCTGAAGAACAGCCTTTATTTGAAAAAATAAATCTCTTGTAATGTTATAAATGTCTGTACTGTCACTTTGGATCAATTTAATGTGTCCTTGCTAAATACAAGTATACATTTTTATAAAAACAAAACAAAAAAAAACTTACTGACCCCAAATTTTGATTGGTAGTTTTTGTTAGTTCGTTTGTGATGATAACACATATCACTCACTAAATTAAACATCAAACATAATTAAACATAATATAATAATGCATCATTGCTGAATAAAAGCATTAATTTATTTAATAAGAATAATAATAAAATAATAATAACTATAATATTAATATTAATAATATTTAAAATGTTACTGACCACAAAAGTTTGAACTTTCAAAACTGTTTTTGAACTTCCTTACTGGTTTCATTCGTCACATTGCATTGTCAGATATAATGCCCACCTCAATGCTCTGTTGTACTGCACATTTTGTCTATATACACTCTAAAAAATGCTGGGTTAAAAAGGGACAAACCCAATAGCTGGGTCAAAACAACCCAATAGCTGGGTTTTTCCCTTTTTACCCCAGCGTTGGGTTATATTTAACCCAGCATTTTTTAGAGTGTAGAAAATTAGCATACTATGCACATTCAAATGAAACTGAATTGACAGAGACAGAGACAGAAAGTAAATGAGGCAGTGCATAAGTGATCAGGCCTCACCTCATTAACTGATACATAGTAACGAGGCTGCTGGAAACGAGGTGTGTTGTCATTTCTGTCCCTCACCACTATCCGTACTTCATGCAGAATAACTGTTCCCACCAGCTCATTGGTGCACTGAATCTGAACCACGATGGTGGTGATGTAACTGGGTGGCTGGAAGAAAGCACATATACAGCGGTTTATAGAACATAAAGAAAACATACTTTCATACAACAAAAATAACTGTAGATTACTGCATTATTACAAAGCAAACCATGAATCATAAAACAAGGCCCCTGCAGATGAGATGTGACATACATTCATGGCAACATTTATTCAAGGTGATATACGGTAATACTAACCATTTGTGATATTTTCAAAAGCTATGGCTAATGATCAATAACATTAGGGTACCCAGCTGTAACAAAGTGCATTAACAATACAGCCAATCAGCCTGGATGTGTCAATGCACAAGATTACATAACTTACGTAACAATGCAAACAGGATTAATGTCAATTCTGCTCATTCTCTTTTGGGTAAATAAGGTGTTTGGCCTCAAGTACTCTGAATAAAACAAACGGTGTAGCTGTTGAGTGAAGTGGCTGAATCCCACAAAGCCTCGTAAAGAGGACGAGGACGAGGAGGAGGAGGAGGATATGCCTCTAATCACTATCCAATAGTGTCATAAAAGGCCTGTCACTAACACAATGCTTCTCAGACAAGCACACAGACACATGTGTGGGGCTAGCAAGCCTCTTTTTAGAAGATTGGTGTAATGTACAGACAGACAGTATAAGAGGGAGGAGATGAAGCACTTGTGGAAAAAGGAATTGGAGAAATCGCTATGCTCATATTGCGTCTGTGGGAGTAAAATCTCCTGCCTTTTGATGGAAGACTTGGCTGTTCTTGTACTGTAGAGGAGTCCATTGCACTTTGAGAGCACAGTTGAATACATCCAAAAACATAAAAAAATATCTTAATAAAGATAAATTCAAAGACAATCTTATTTACTTACATTATATGAATCTGAAATGACTGTAAATACTTTATATCAAAATGTTTTGGTCTTGTTTTCTGGTAAAAACAATACCAACAACAACAAAATCAATAACAAACAACAACAATAATAATAGAAAGGATAATTACTGTCTGACTGATTAATTAATAATTATAATTAACACTATGTCTACATATCTGTTAAATACAACACATTTATTTGAGAAGCAAACATTTTTACACAAATGGCAAATTATTTTCAGTCATAAACCACATTACATTTTGTATATTTATTTATACTAAAACAAACAAAAACAAACAAAAAAAATCTTTAAGAAATATTCTCTGAAAAGTTGGCATGAAAATGAAGTTGAGATCATCTTTTCTTCCCTGTTGAGTGACAGGTTGTCCCACCTTCGCGGCGGTAAACATGTTGTCAGAGAAAAGAGATGTCGTTGCAAGCCATTCTTTGCTTAAAGATTATGAGGGTGCATGAAATTGAAAAAATTAATGATGTGCATGGATAAATCATTTATAATAAACACTGCAATATGCCATTAAGAATTGTCCATTTTGATTTCATGGCGACTTTAAAGGGGCCATCGGATGCAAAATTCACTTTTACATGGTGTTTGCTAAAACTGTTTGTGATCCAGCTGCACCTCAAGAAGTCTCACACTTTATATTTTTTATGATTATTTGCAAATCGCCTTTCCTCTTCCACAGAAGAGAGGGGCGGGGTGAGCAGAGCTCATTAACATTTAAAGAGACATGCACTGAAACGAGTCGCCGTAAACAGAGTTGTTTTTGACAAGGTAAAAAGGGTGTTGTTTTTACACGATTTCATGAAGACCCTAAACAATCATAACAAATTGTGGAAAATGGGCATCCGATGTACCCTTTAATATTTCATGCAATTTTGCATAAGTATATTTATCTTGATTTGAGGATGTCAAAATATTTCATTGGAAAGAGTAAAATACTGATTAAGAAAATGTTGCAGTTGTGTGTGGTTGCTATGATCTCATTACCGTGACGAGTGTTGTTTTGCTGCCAATCGGGACAGAATTTATTTTAGAGCTTTTGTTTGTCTTAGAGGCTTCAGGCAGACTGCCATATAAATATATATCCATTTGTGCCAGTCAAAGGACAGCAGTAGCAATATGTTATTTTTGACAGATTGTGTGTGTTTGTTTACTCACGTCTCGGTCCAGCACTCGTCCAGTGCTGTTGAGATACAGTCTCTGCAGCGCAGGGTCAAGGATAACCCAGTAATCATAGTTGTCCAGCAGCGTCAAGGAGATGGTTCTATCTGGATCCTGAGCACGACCATTGATCTGCATGTTTTCCACAAGAACGGTACCTGACAGAAAAGGATTGGCAAGAAAAGCTTATGTTTCAAGGTACATGATGGGAGATTGACCACCTCATGTAATATAAAAGTTCACGTAATAAATATGTATAATAATAATGATGATTTCCCCATGAATAAATAATAGTTGTAAATCCTCATTCTGTACATATTCATTAGCTTCCTCTCTTGGCTCATGTGTATGAGAAGCTGATTATGTAAGAATGTGAAGGTCATAATTTCAGCATGTGTAAATGTATGGTTGGCTGAGTTCTCGCCTCTCCTCCAAGATAATTACACTTCATTTTATGCTTCAATATGTTACAAATTATTTCAAATCCTTGTGAATCCCTGCAGAAAAACACAAAATAATAAGTCCTAACAGAGCATGAACCACCATCCAGCGGTATTCAATTAACATTCCATGAGGTCCAGGCTCTACATTTCCCTCCCAGCAAAGGTCGAGACAATCATAACAACCATGTTTTTAAATCAAATGAACATTCCTAAAATATGTTTTTTCACTGGAATGGATAAAATATTTAAGAGCCATTATTCTGAGAAAACGTTCACCTGAGAGCCAGCTTAATTTAAGATTTCTAAGGGGACTAATAGGAAAGACAGGGCTTAAGCACCATTAAATAAAGCCTGGAATCACTTATGATTCATTATAAATGTTCAGGCTGGCAGCTGCATGACCTTGCAAAAAAAAAGAAATAAGAAATCCTGTAAGTTGTTGAACTAGTCTCTCCAAGCACATAACCTGTACAACATAAAAATAATGAACTGACTTCTTCTCTAAAACAAATGCTGCATTACATTAAAAAAATGCAAATGAAATACTGAATCAAACCTGAAACCTTGCCATCGTCATGTCAGTTATATTAGTTTATTTAAACAATTTTCCATCAAGCAAGATTTGACCTTGTGACCTCTCGTGCTGAAAAGACGACTATTCCTCAGAGTCCCAAAATCTCACATTCACGTAGGGGGCTTGAGTCCCTTTAAGACTGAGATCCAAGAATCGCCCTTGGCACAAACAATAGTATTCACCCAGAACTAGAATTCAGAAAGCTGGTCAGATTCTTTTCTCAAAGCTCCAGTGTGCATTCAACACGTTGTCCACTTAAAGTGCCAGCATGTATAGCTTTTGCCCTAATTGCAGCAAGCATTTGTTTTTTGAAGAGTATTAACTGTTAGTGATGAATGATACAGTACATTCAAGAAACATGCAATTCTGTAAGACAATTATGCGCAACATTATAAACATAATGTGCTTTTTTGGCCATTAAGTTTCCTAAAGAGAATAACATTAGACTAATTTCATGATCCTTCATGGTCTTGCAGCTTGCTAATATGAAAGCATTAAAACAGATATTTTAATTGATGTTTCTTCATCACAACAGATTTGGAGAAATTTAGCATTGCATCACGCTCACCAATGGATCCTCTGCAGTGAATGGGTGCCGTCAAAATGAGAGTCCAAACAGCTGATATGTGGATTACTTGCCTATTATTTGTTTGGACTCTCATTCTGACGGCACCCATTCACTGCAGAGGATCCATTGGTGAGCAAGTGATGTAATGATACATTTCTCCAAATCTGTTATGATTAGGTAACAAACTCATCCACATCTTGGATGGCCTGAGGGCGAGTCAATTTCCAGCCAATTTTCATTTTTGGGTGAAATATTCCTATAATAACTTAAAATTTAGTACTACAAATTATTCTTTTACATGAAACAAATTGTCACCGAGCATCAATTACCTGCCCATGATATCAATAATATTGATATTATCAGAAGCAAAATAGTGTACTTGAATAGTCACAATAACAACATTTTAGCAGTCAATTCCAATACCAGTGAAATTTCACTTTGGGAAGCATTCTTTCTTGTTGCAATTGCATTTGGTGATGCTAGTGGAGCAGATAGTATACACTTCAGCTTTAAGTGAGTTAGCCTACAGCCCAGATCCCTGAGAAACTCAGCCATAACAGACATCCGACGCCATCAGACATAGACAGACTCGGAGGCCCTGATGTTTGACTCCAATATTACCTGAAAGGAAATCCATTACCTGAGTGAAACCACCCCTTAGCATGTGAGCAGAGCAAAAACACATCAGCCACAAATGAGGGCAGATGCGAGAATCTCTGTGTAAACAGCATCTCAGTACCTCGAGCGAGGGGTCACAACACGCCTGCTGTCCATCAAAGTCACAGCAAACCCATCCCACACCAGCTAATATCAGCTGTTAGAGTGGTTAGGAATATAGAATGGCGTTAACATATGGCTCCTGTTGATTATTTTTAATTCTGTTGGATTTGTCATGAAGAAAAACACACGGATGAAACAGTAAAGAAAATTGCGAAGAAAATGGCTCCTTAGATTCACGTCTGCACACTGGAGAAAATCAAATGCTATTAAGAGGGATCTCACACCAGGCACGACAGAGACTCGAGGGAACGGCGTACACGCACACATACACCACACACACCAAATCCAACGCAGCTTCTCAGAAACCTTTTCACACCCATAACCAGGTGTGAGCTTGTGCTCCGTCGTACATGTGCAGATTTTCCACATCTATTCCTGAAAAACCTGGCGAACGGCATCATTAGTGGTGTTTGCTAAGCCAAAATTACTATTATTCAAACTTTAGCGCATAACCATTTATGCTACAGACATGAATGATACCTCAAATCCTGCGGCCTGCTGAGGAGAGGTGTGCTATTACCTTTTTCAGTGATTGGACTTACATTTTTCAGTGGTGCATAATAGAACAGGTGAAAAAACACAAATACTTATACTGTACAGTATATTGAAAGAGAGCCTCAAGCAATATTTAGAGATCAGAATTTCATAGAGATTTATGAGTGGGCTATTTGGTTTGAGATGGTCTGACTGGTCTCTGATGCTTTGATGGTTGGCCACTTGGTCTCCCAGCCTGACCCAAAAAATAAAAATTAAATTAAATTAAAAAAATAAATAAGGTCAAGGTGCTAAGGTCTTCTAAATGTAATCATGATTTTTCAGGGTAAAAAGTGATTATGATTTAATACCTATGTGATTAATTGTGTGATTGATTTCCTTAAAAATGTGTGATTACATATCAATGACTATAAAATATTACTAACAAAAATAATTTAATTTTACAGTTCCACTGTAAAATTACAAAGCTAATATTTAAGGATGTCCTAAGGTGAATGTCCTAAGGTTCTCTTTTGACAACAGTCGGTTTAAAACCGCTTCTCATTACAAGTACAGGAAGATGCCTGGCATATGTTGCGTTCCCAAATGCATGTTACAATCAACCCAAACTCAGAGCAAATGCAGAGATGAGTTTGTGTAGAGCAGCCTTTACCTCAAACCAAGCCACTCTAAGACACTGAAAACACTGAACCACAAGCTGTTAGCATTTTAAAGAGCACAATGCAGCGCTTCATTCTAAAACATATAACACATAATCTTATTTAATTAAATCACAGCCTTTGCGATAGGGATGCACCGAAATGAAAATTCTAGGCCGAAGCTGAAGCCGAACAAAATGAAACACTGAGCCGAAGGCCGAATACCGAACACAGTTTTTCCCATTTTTCCCCCATGTAGGCCTATTTTGCAATTTTTTTCACAATTGCATTAATTAAATTGCCAAAATGTGCTTTTTACTGTTTTGTCCTGCTTTTCAAATAAAAAATCAATTACAAAACAACAATTAAAAAATATTTACTTAACACTGAACATTTTTTTTTAACATTCTAGCAGACATTATACCAACAAAGCACAATTTAGCCTAAAATTAAGTTAGTAAAATAATATTTTTTGGCCATTTTTGAGACTTGAATCAGGCATGTATTTTTTACTGTACAAATAAAGGCAGCCTTGCTGAGCAGAAGAGACTTCTTTTTAAAACATTAGATATATTACAGATCCCAATTTGAACACTATGTGTGAATGTTATAACAAATGTATTAACAGAGCTGTTGTAGGGTAATTATTATTATCATTATTATTGTCTTACTTTTAATTTTATTTGACATAACGACAGTAAAATTACAATACTATCCTTTATGAATGTCGATGGAGTTGTTGCTTTTTCTCGGCTTTTATTTTGGCAGAAACCCGCAGGAAGATCTCAGTGCTTCTTTTTGTTGACAACAGCATGCAGATTTATAAATTATTCTCATTACAAATTTGGGAAGATGTTTGTCGCACGTATCACATTGTCTCATGCCTTTAAAAAAAATTCACAAAAATGTTACTGAGCAACTGACGAGTAACACAGTTTTAGTGCAGATTTTCCTCGCGCTTTGGACTTTGAACCCTGGCACCGCGAGCTCATGCAGCACTGTCAAAATACATGCAATTCGTGCGTGCATTAGAAAATATAACATTCTGCAGTTTATTTACTAATCGTCTGAGGTAATTTCGCGATTTCAATCATCATACAGTAACCTAACCACCAACATTAGCCTCTTCTTCTCATCGGAGACTTGATGCAGCACTAAGTCTCTCACTGTCGGTGCTTCACACTTATAATGATTTCTGTGTCTTTCTCTGACAGTTTTAAATACTTTCACACTGTCGACATGTTTGCTGCATTAGCGTGTGCGTCTATTTGATCGCGTTCATCATTGTTCAGTTCATATTATTCTGCCTTTTCGCTTATTCGGCCGAACACCGAAATATATTTTTTTTGCTATTTTCGGCCGAATAATTTCAGTTGCTGAATATTCGGTGCATCCCTACTTTGCGATTTGATAATTCATATTATCCATATTGGTTTTATTTTGATTAAATGCACAACACTACTGACTAATACTCAGAACTAGCTTAGGCTGGTTTAAGTGAGACCCCAGCAAACCCAGCAAAAGGTTTGTTGGGGCAAGAACCACTCACACTTACTTCAGAAATGATTATTCTCTGCCAGCTCATTTGATGTGCCTTCTGCCAGCCAGCAGTGGTGGTGTCACGGTACGGGTGTTCTAAAGAACAGGCAGGACGACGAAG